AAAAAAATATCTAATACTTACTATATTATTTTATTATTTTAAACACTTTATATTTTTAGAAGAAATATAAAAATTTTTAAATATAATATGAGTTTGAATTAAAAGCTTATATATCGACTTATATAGTTTGAAACTTTTTTAAGTGATATAAAGATAGAGAAAATAATAAAATTTAATAAAGAAATTTTTGTAATTGTTTAAATTAAAATAAAAAACTAAAAGAATATTTTTTAACAAGTTTTTAACCATGATTCAATGGTTTAGTGGTGTAAAAAAACCATTAGTTACTGGTCTTTTAGAATACCTGATAGAATTTCTACAGATAAAGGCATTCTCAAAAGATATGTAAAGTATGGAATATGTCTTCTAGGCATGGAAAAGAAACTATACACTAAAAATAGTGATGGTGCAACGTTCAGGTATTGTAATAGAAATTGAAATAGTTTCTCTAAGTATGTTTTAATACGCAGAGAGTCACTACTATCAGGCTTTACTGTACTTCTGAGAAACATATTTTTAGTAGTTTGTAATGGTAAAATAACCATACTTATACACTGAGGTGAATATTGGGAAAAGGTCACTTATTAAAAGTATTGATTTACTTCATAATCAATCTTTTAAGGACACTTTCAATTTTTTACTATCAGTAAATTCAATTTTCATAAAGATTATACTTCCCATAAGATTTTAAAATTTTAAGATTCTTTTTTTTGTATATATGAATAAAATTCATTATTCTTCTTTAATCATATATAAAAAATTTTTGCTTTCAATTTCTACACTATAAGATTAATAAAATATAAATAAATTCTTTTGAATTTTTATAAAATTTTTGATGATTCAAATGGATAGGTTAAGATTATTTTTGATTTTAGAAATAATATATGATGATGATGAAGCTCTATTAGTTTTATTACTGAGAAATAAATATTACTATCTGAACATATCATTAGCATTAAATTTATTTAATTTAAGACTGGATTTACAATTAAATACAAAGCTAGATTTCAAAAAAGACAATTTTAGAAATTATATATGTAAATTCAACAATACCCAAATCACTTTTGATTGATAAATTGATAATGTTTCTGACATATATAGGTAGAAAAATTAATTATTCTGACATTGCAGATTTATTTGGCATATCAAGATCAAAAGCATTTTATGACATTCATTTTATGGTAAAGTTTATTTTAAAAGTAAAAAATGATTATATCAAGTTGCCTAATTCAGATGAATTTAAAATATTATCAGAAAAATTTTTAACAATTAAAACTAAAAAATATTGTTTTAGATAGCACACGTGTAAAAATTAAAAACCTAGATAATTCTAATGGAAGGTATATTAACAGAAAAAAAGAATTAAGTTTAAATTTTATGGTAGCAGGAAATTTAAACTTAAAGATTAGATACATACTAGGTGGTTTATATAGATTAAGTCATGTTAATAAGACTTAATAATTGATCAAAGTTGCATTCAATCTTATTAATTTTAATGTTTAGTTCTTGATATTCTTGATTTTTAGTTTCTTTACTGTTAGTTTGAATTAACGATTCTAAAATTTTATATTTTTGATTATTGCTTTTTTCTAAATACTCCACAACCAGTTCTGCTGCGGTTTGCTTCAGTTTTTTTATATTATTACAGTCATCATTAACTCTTGTTTCTAAAAAATCATTTTTAAATTTTCTTTAGTTGCCTCTTTACATGAGTCAGAATTTTATTTTAATAATTCTCCTAGAACTGAAAAGTTAATATTCGAAGAACTTCCTCTTAACTCTACCTTCATATACTTGGAAGCTTGCTTTTTTTCTCTATAAACCTTCAAAAGATCATTAAACTTTGACTTTAGGTCTGATGAAGAAAATTCATGAGTGAGTTCATTAGCAATTTCATACCACAACTTATTAAGTTCATAAAGATTACCTTTATGCTTTGCAAATTTTTTTAATAAATCTGCGTTTTGTCCTAAAGATAATAATCTTTTTGTATGTCCTTCTGTAAATTTCAGTTAAATTAAGAGTTAAAATTTTTATTATTGTAGGATATTTTTGACCCTTGATCAAGGGTCAAAAATATTCTACAATAAAAAACTTTTATATAGGAAGAAAATGAAACCTAAAATCTTAAATTCCTATAAGAAAAATACATATTTTAACCAAATATTGTTTTTAGAACATATATTGCTTATTAAATAATTTATTATAAATTTTAATGTCAATTAAATATATATAAAGGGTTAAATTTACTTCAAACACACTTTCATCTTAAGATTTTTTAAATAAAAATTCATATATGAAAAAAATTAAAAGTGTCCTTTGAGTCTCAATAAAATCAATAATTCTATAAAGTTCTTATTAAACAAAACATTTTTAGACCAAATCTTCAACAACAAACCTACTTTAGAAATACAACCTTTTATTTTTAAAGAACACATTTGAATTTATTTTACACGCTTTCGATGTTTTGGATATGAAAATTAGAAGTATTTTCACAAAGATTTCACTATGATTAACAGTGAAATGCAAAAATTACAATATACTGTTACAAATACATGTATAAACACACCATTTATCAAAATGTTTTATACTCCTTAGTAAACAAACACTTTTAATTATTGTTTAAAGCTTGAAAGTGGCCCTTTTAGGCACGACATGCAATGAAATTTAAGCCTGTTGATTGAGACATCCGTCAACTATATACCCATATTTTTCTATTTGGCTGTCTGTTACGATGGTATTTTTATTTATGTTTAAATAAACTTTAATTTATTAGAACAGTTCTACCACCACTTCGGAAGGGCTGTGAGTTTTTTGTAGCATGTTTATAAACTACCTTCTAAAAGATCAATTCTTTTCGTAATTATCTTTATTCTTATATTCACTTTGTTTAAATCTGTACTAAAATTTGGTTGTTAAACTATTTATAACAAATCTGTAGTATACTACTATGAATTACATTGAAACCAAATAATAACGATTAGGTGCAAATAGAAGTGTACTTATTCTAATCAGTACATTTGTTGTTTGTGTACCTTAATATGCACACTTCTTTTTCTAGAGTATCGTTTTGATTCCATATCTTGTTAACAAGATACGTATTTTACGTATCTTTTCAAAACGCACTTGGCACGAAGAAACTTTATTAAGTTTTTACAGAGACCCTGTTATAGTGGTTTATCACCTTACAATAACAATGATTTATAGTTTATAATTTTTCTTAAAAATTGTTTTATTATATTTTTCTATTAATTTTGTCTGTTTTTAAGGTTTTTTTTTGTATATTA